GGCTCTGGCTGACTCCAGTATCAAGTTTCCTTTAGCTCGCTCTCCTGCTTTGAAAATGCTGTATCAGCAGGCTTGTCTGTCTCTGTTCGTCCATGAACTTGATGAACTTGATGAGCCAGATAGTTAGAGGTCTGATTTTCAGGGTGTCGTAGGGTGGTTGGATGGAAACTGGACACCGTAACTGTTCATGCAAATTCTGCTGCCCTGATTGGTTAAAAAAAGTTTTTTTTTTTTTAATGTTTTTGTACTATTTCGGCATTGCAACGCGTTGCCCGGTAAGATAGGTCAGTTCTTCATGGACTTATTTTCCAACCGTTTTCCTCGAGGTTTTAACTGTTTGGCAACAGGGACTGAGTATGGAAGAAAAATTATTCCAAAAGTTGAATTTTCATTACTTTTGTTTATCAAAGCTCTGGTAAAACAAGTGTTTAATTTTGCACGTAAATTGATGTATAAGTTCAAATGTGCAAAATTTAGACACACTGTGGTGTGTAACTAGATAACGTCAGTTAATTATTGGTGTGCAAACTTTCGACATTTCTGGAAAGCTACACACCGTGGCTCCCGTGTGCACGAGTATGCGAAATCTAGATTTTACAAAACGTCTAATGTTGGCACATCACGATTGTGTGCAATTTCAGGTAGACGCCATTTAATGTGCAAAATCATGAACTGCACACGTTGGTGTACCAATTTTGCTCACTTGTTTTACCAGCGAGGCAAAGGTGCAAGTTTGCATGTACCAAGTTGAACACTTGCAATTGTACATGTGCAACTATGGAGTTACACACTTGCAAGCGTTAAGCAGTTGCACAATTAGTTTATCAGTGTGGTGGCAAACGATTATAGTGTCTCTCGCAATATGGGAAGGGGCGAAGTCATTTGCTGTAAGCGAGGTTTTCGGACTGCCGCGCCGTGGCAATGGGTTCGCTCCCGACCGGGCCGAGGTGCTGGCGAAGCGAAGTGGAGCTGGCAACAACGTCTGGCTGGAAAGGCTGGCTCTAGCTCGTTTTATTATGTGGCCGGCCAACCCTTTCCCTATTTGGTATACCTCAGGTGGGTTTCACCGCAACGTCTCCCCCTCTCTCCCGAGCTGCATCAATTATGCACAGTACGTTAGTGGGTATCGGGGGCAAGGCAGAGCCCGCCAGAGCCCCTCCCCTTCGCAACCGGCCCCGAGAGGATCTCTGTCGCTCGGTGAAAATCAGGGAAAAGTCGGCTTTCGATTTTGGAGTTATAGAACCTTATTTAATATCCCTTGCTGGTTGATCCGTGCCGTTGAATCCGTCCCGACCTGAAGCCTGGCTGCTACCGCCATGACACCAAGAGATGTCTGGAGGCGGTGGGTGGTGCGGGAGGAGTGCGCGCCGCCATCGTCCCTCCGACAAACCTCAGGCACTCGAGCACGGCCATCGCGGGCCGGGGCCGGGGCGGGGCGAGAGCTGGAACCGGCGCGGCACCGAGCGGCCCGCGGCCCCGGCAAGCGGCCCGGCCAAGGGTGCAGTTTCCCGGGCCCCAGCCGGGCCCCGGCCGGGCTCAGCCCCAGCTCTGAAGGTGTGGCCGCGGGCTTGGCTTCCACTGAGCGGCAATGGCGAGGGGGTCGGTGGGTGGGGTGAAATGGCGGACGGCGGCGCTGGCCCCCATCCAAACACAATGGAGTGCGGCTCGAGAATGCGGCCGCGCTGTTGACACCCGACGCCACAGCGGAAATTGTCGGCAATGTGGAGATATG